GAGAAGAATTACGAGTCTCTATTTGTCCGGAGGGTCGAAAAGGATTAGGGATTGAGAATTTTTTGATAGGGTTATCGACATCAATCAAAATGATGAGTGCACCCGAACAACGGACAATGCTACTTGCACAGGGAGAAATTATTTCAGATATGGCGGTGCAGTGTTGTAATTGGGACGAGAATACTTCTTCTCAGAATGTTTCCATTTATGAGATGTTATCTAAAGCTGATATCGAAGGTCTTATATCTACAGAGACTCTGGAGGAGATGACTCGATTTTCTCTTTATCACCGGTTGATAAAGAAGAGGTCGGAAGAGGTCTTAAAAATTTAGATTTGATGAACGAAAAGCCTGGGGCTGTTTTTGTCGATGAAGTGACGAAACAAAATGATACCCTGGTTGATCAAGCAACAGTCGGAGACGAATCAAAAGAGAATTATCATAACTATCTTGCCAACATTAAAGCTGAATTTCAATTATTTCAAAAAGAACTTGGTCACAAAATGCATCACTTTTTGTATAGAGCGTCTCACACACCATCAGAAGAAGAAGTCTTCACAGTTGTTGTCTCCAAAAAATCCAAAAGGCGCAATGAATCAACACCTTGACTATTGAGACCAGGCGGCAAGCGCGATTGCACAACACCAGACAACATACGTACCCAACAGCGAACCCGGCTCAACTACTCCAACACAGATTACTAATCATCTTCATTCGTGTTTTCCTCATTAAACTTTTTGTAGTTTGTCCATTTACTTTCTACCTTCATAAGCGTTTGTATTCTGCTCCTTTTATCAATAAAGTTTTCTTTTCACGCAAAAAAATAGCACACTTTTCCTTCACAAATAATCATTTCTTCTTTCATACTCTTAAGCTCAGTTTAGAATAATATTTCTTTTATATTTTTATAGCATGTTTAGTCTCCAAATGAGGAGTTAAACTTTCATTTCTTGGTGTTGCTCTTGAAGCTTTTTTATTATTAAAGTTGTGAGTTATTTTCTTAACTTCTTCCCTTGAATATTAATTCTTCCCTTATCTATCTCTATATTAATGTTGGGGAGTATTGCTAAGATGACAATTAGTTAACATCTCGACATTAATTACTACTAGAAACGATCAACGAACCGATGATTAATCGTTGATGGTTTCACAAGTAACTTCAGTTTATTAATGCACGGTCGTGGTTAATAAACTTAAGAGAGATTAATTGTGTTGGTTAAACCGAAACCGTTGTGTTGAGGTTATCAATCTCAATTGATTTCAATTGAAAATATTTTTTAATTTAGTCATACTTTACAAAAAATAATCATCGTACAATTTCACTTTTTCAATAATTGCATAGTTACCTCTCACAGTGGAGTATTTTAAAAGTACTAATTAATACTCCCTTCGTCCCATTGGACTTTGCCAACTTTTCATTATTGATTGTCCCAAAAAACTTTGTCATTTTCCTATTAAGGCAACTAATTTGTGGTTCTACACATTTTTCTCTTCTCTGTACAAATCACAACCACACAATTTTTACTATTATTATTTTTCACCTACTTTGTACTTGGGCAAAGTCGACCGGGACGGAGATAGTACAAGAAAATGATAGGTAATACACCTTTCGTACATTCCCTTCGATTATCTTACACACACAATCACACATAGTTGTCTCTATGCATGAAACAAACGAGTGTACAAGAGGGGTATGACACTATGTTGTAAAAACCGGACCGGAGAGTGACCCGGCCACATGACTGGGTCACGGGTCAACCCGGACCCGGTGGGTCAACCCGGTCAACGCCGGAAAACCGGTCAATGATTATACGTCTATATAATAATAGTAAACATATAATTATATATAAAATTATAATAAAAAATAGTTATTATTCATAATAATCAACTTACAATACTACTTATTAAGCATTTAATACACTCTTATAATATTTCAATGTATATTTTGATCTTATAAAAATATATAATGATATTTTTATTTCTATTTTACATCTATATTATAATTTGGCATGATGTTCATTCTTAAATAAATATAGGGAAAACTGTCAAATAAGTCCATATACTTTGAGCAAATAGTCAATTGAGTCCACGTACTCTTTATCCGATCAATCAAGTCCATGAAGTAATAAAAAACGACCAAATCAGCCATTTAACAGGTCAACAACCTGTTACCCGGTTAATTTCTTACGTAATGTTCCAGCTGGCATTTTATTTACTGTTTTCGTATTTTATAATTTTCTTTTGTTTTCTTTTTCTTTTTTCCCTTTTTCTCTTCTTTTTTTGTCCTTCTTCTTTCTTCTTCCTTCCTGGTCCACTTCTTCTTCAAGCTTGAACTCGTCCCTTTCTTTCAATTTCAACCACCTCCCACTATTTTTTCAATTCCACCATTTTTACCGACCTCTGCCACCAACAACTCGACCAACCTCTGCCGCCCCTACCTTCATAGCCACCACATCCTCTACCATCCTGGCCTCCATGGCCACCGTCACCGGCGTCCACCCCATCTCCATCCGCCGCCCCTGAGCACCTGCCTCCACTCACACAGCTTCCGGCCTACACCTCCGCATCCTCCATTAAAGCGACTTTCAATCAGCGCCTTTGGCCAAAACCTCCGCCGCCCCTACCTGCATTCACACCGCCTCCAACCACCACTACCACCGTCTCCACCTCCGCATCTTGCATTGGAGTGACCTCCAACCGCCGCCGCCTTTCATATCCATCACCCCCATCGCCCCAACATCCATAGACTGGTGCATCTATGATAGAGTTGTATTTTTATTATGTATTATTTCTATTTTAACTAGTTTTATTTGTTGTTGTTTGGAAAATTACACACTTTTGGTGTAATTAGTTAATTTTCTTAGATAGATGTAATTTGTTTAGATTAGGATTATTCTGAGCTTAAAACAGGACAAGATCATCCAAAGGATCAAGTTTGGACCCCAAAAGATCAAGGAAAGTGCAAGGGGACAAGATAAAAAGAAGATTGAAAAAATATTTCATATACCCGGTCGGGTATAGGCAATACCCGATCGGGTATTGAGTTGATTCGGGTGTCAAAATCAGAATCTGGAGAGACAAAAGAACGTGCAGGATTTTGACTTTTTGGCTCATACCCGACCGGGTATGCCTACATACCCGATCGGGTATGTCTAGAAAAGTGATTTTCCGGGAAACTGCCTAAAATACCCGATCGGGTACCCTATATACCCGATCGGGTACACAACCCTGCCACCTCCAAACACCTATAAATACACCCCTTTTCCTTCACAATAAAATCATCCCTTCTTCCATACTCTTAAGCTCAGTTTAGAATAGTATTTCTTTTATATTTTTATAGCATGTTTAGTCTCCAAATGAGGAGCTAAACTTCCATTTCTTGGTGTTGCTCTTGAAGCTTGTTGATTATTAAAGTTGTGAGTTATTTTCTTAACTTCTTCCCTTGAATATTAATTATTCTCTTAATCTATCTATATATTAATGTTGGGGAGTGTTGCTAAGATGAAAATTAGTTAACATCTCGACATTAGTTATAGTAGTATTTATTTTCTTCCTCTATATATTAATGTTGGGGAGTGTTACTAAGATGACAATTAGATAACATCTTGACATTAGTTATAGTAGGATTATTCATATTTAATCTTCTTCCTTGAATATTAATTCTTCCCTTAATCTATCTCTATGTTAATGTTGGGGAGTGTTGCTAAGATGACAATTAGTTAACATCTCAACATTAATTACTACTAGAAACGTTCAACGAACCGATGGTTAATCGTTGATGGTTTCACAAGTAAGTAACTTCGGTTTATTAATGCACGGTCGTGGTTAATAAACTTAAGAGGGATTAATTTTGTTGGTTAAACCGAAACCGTTGTGTTGAGGTTATCAATCTCAATTGATTTCATCAAGGAGTTAAGAGATTAAATGCTACTATCAAGTCGGTATATGGCGGTGTTCTATACTTGACTAATAGTAAGGGTTATTAATGAACGGTCGTTGTTAATAACTACCCTCGATGAATTGGATATACTCCTCGATTGAGTATTCGAGAGGGGATAAGTTATAGATATAACAATGATCGACTAAAATATATCAACAAGTGGAAAGTAGCAATGCCAAGTCCTTTTTATATTTGAATTAAATCTCACATAAGTTCTTCATCTTGGTATTTAATTAATTAAATTCCAACAATACCAAAACCCCCCTTTTATTTACTAGTTCATAAAAAGAGAATTATTCCTTTCCCTGTGGATACGAACTCTACTTCACTATACTACGTATTAGTGCTAGTATTGAATTTATTTTGACGCACCGTGACAAAGTGCTCGTCAATCTACTAGGGAGAGAAATCGAAGAGGAAGAAGAGGAGCTCACGCAGTCACTCTGGATTGCAGTACAGTACACGCAGGGAACCAAGGAAAGAGAACACAAATTAAAAGAAATAGGGATTAGAAAATAAAAGAGAAAAGAGAAAGAAAAAGCTTTAAAATTGGCCAGCTGGACAATGTTACCGGCAAACCGTTTACTTACGGGTTAAATAGCCTATTTGATGATTTTTTGATACTTTGAGGACTCAATTGATTCATTTTATAGTATGTAAACTCAATTGACTTTTTGGTAAATGTAGATGGACTTATTTGACAGTTTTCCCATAAATATATAAATATATTACATAGTTTTTCTTTTTAAGGTATTGAAATTGCAATTTTATTGGTATAAAAAATGTATTAAAAATAAAAAAGAAATTACTTTTTTTGGTAAAAACACCCAAAAACTGGGTTTTACCGGGTTTTTCGGGTTTCTTGGGTCCGGGTCTCGACCGGGTTTTCCCGGGTCAGCCGAGTTTTTCTGGTTTTTGACCATTTTCGGGTTTTGAAAAAACCGAACCGATTTTTTGTCCGGGTCACCGGGTTCCGGGTCAACCCGGCCGGGTCGGGTCGGTTTTTTAAACATAGGGCCTATGATACAAGCATATCTAATGTACTCATCCGAGAGTGAGGTCAATTCGGCTCCCTGTATAACGCGTCAATGTTTCCTTTAATCGGAGAGGACTGACTAATCAGCAGCCATTCAACCTTCAAAAATATCTAGCAGCAGAAATGGAAAACACAAAAACCCAATCTTTTCTGCTTCTCTTTAAAAAGCTTCCATTTTTATACATATTTTCCTCTCTTCACCTCATTTTCCTCTCACCCTCTCTTTCAGCAGCTTCCACCCACCAGAAGCGACGGCGGCGCGCTATATCATCGTTGTCGGCTTATACTTTCTACCGACCAACTGATCTATTTCACCGTCACGTGCCGACGTGCGATTGCTCTTCTGATAACGGCACCGTCTGCCACGTCACCGCCATGTATGCATCTTCACGCCCTTCTTGACTGATTTTCTGTTCAAAATTCCAAATACGTGTCCATTTTTTACAGAGTGGAAGCTTTACTGTTTAATCAATTCATGTTTTCATATCTTCCCTTCCTGATGGGATCAAACCCATTATCACTCAACTATGAGAAGCACTTTACGTTGTTTACAAAAAATAGAAGTAAGAAGAAATGGATAGCTAAGAATGTTTTTACTTATTTCAGTCCAACATCAAATCAGATTAAAATTCGATAATCGTAATACATAGTAATTGTGCCATTTTAAAATTATGATAAAATAATCTTACTTGATAACCTTGAGTTTTCGTGAATGTAAAATTAGTTGCTTTAGCAAGTTAATGAGGTCATCAAGAGTCAAATGCAATTCGGGTTTCTTATTATAACTAGACATTCCCTCCGTTCCAAGATTTAAGTTCCACCTTTTTTTGTTGGGATGTCCAAAATAAAGTTTCTATTACAATCTCTATTTAGATTTCACAATTTTTTTTATTCATTTACCATTTCCCTACATGTCACTTCATCGAATTGATGTGTGTTACTCTCCTTTCATTCTTCACTTACTCCTTTATTGTAACCATCCAGGTAATACATTTTCTAATTCTTCAAGTGCATTTGAAAATCAATTTTATTTCAAATTCTACCTAAAAAACCCGTGAAGTCAAATTTGATACTACGTACTCCGTATTTAATTTCAAGAGTAAATATACTACGGAGTATAAATTTGACTTTTCAGAAATTAATGATTGGTTATGGAGATGAGGGTTATAGTTTGACGTGAAGTAGTAGACTTTACTACTTTAGAAAGTGACAGTTAGCCCTACGTACAATGGAGTATATAACATGATAAACCTCAATGTCACTTTTTTTAGGACCAATCACGGTTATGCAATTTTTTGGTTAAAAATCTCAAATCACACTTAAAGAATTAAAAGTGCAACTTTTAAGAAAGTTAAAGTATTAAAGATCAAAAAACATAAAGAAAAATGTCAAAATTGTCTTTCGCACAATAGTCGAATGATTAAAAGTAAAAGAATTTAAAATCGAGTATAAAAAAGTATCAATCATGTAATAGTCAAAGAACTAAAAGTGACAAAAGTATGTTGTTCCGGATGTCAGTGACTCTATTGGGTATACAAATTGTTAACACGAGAAAGTATGATGACAACGTTTACTGCTGATGCTATTGCTATTAGCTAGCAACATATCATTGATTATGTTGTAGCAACATATCAGGAAACAGTTATTTTGTGTTTTAGGACAGGGATAAGACTGCATACATCCAACCCCCTACACCACCATAGGTGGGAGCCTTTGCGGCACTGGGGTTGATATCAGGAAACAGTTATGTTGTAGTTTAAACCAAGTCTCACACTGACTATTTCCGATGTTATCCTTTACAATTGTACCTTGTAATCAAGTCTGAGGATTTTAAAACCTTTTCCTGGTTTTTCACGCCTTAACCACTTATGGAAATAATTACTGCAGGGCTCTGAAGTAACAAAGGAAGACTACAAAGGAAGTGTTCATGAAATTGCGAAGTTCCAAACCTAAAAAGTCGTGTAAGTTCAGATTGTAATTCAATTGAGTTATCTCTGTTAACTTCTTCATAAAAGTGCACTAATACACTGAATTGTTTTACGAAGTGTTTAATCCAGGTATCTCAGTCCTAATTATCTGAATGGAACAATCCTGCAACAGTGGGCATCAATGCAATTGCTTGACCTGTAATCATTGTTTCTCTCCCTAATCTTAATCTCTTGGATTTCCACCGGAATTGTCTATGTAACATAATTGTGTTGGCTTTATTATTTACTTATTTCAGATATCAACTCTTTATCATACTTTAATTTGGATTTGTGACACTACAACACTTTATATTTTTTCTTTTGATTATTAAAACTGAATTAACAAATCAATTTGGAGTGGACGAAATATTTAATTATGCACCCAATCACACGTACTATGTAATCATTGTAATATTTAAGAGAAGGGAAGCTTTGTGTTTGCAGCTCATGCTAGTCTCAAGAGTTATATACGAGTACAAAAGATATATACACTCTTACAAACAAGTCTTTACAAAAGAGACATGTGACAATATCATACTCCCCCGTCCCGCAAAATAGTTCTCGATTTCCTTTTTGGGTCGTTCCAAAAAATAGTTCTCATTTCCCTTTTTGGAAAGTTTTTTGTGTCTATCAATAATTTATATTTTCCTTACTCAATCATAATCATACATTTCCCCTTTATTCTCACTTTCTTAAACTCCGATTCAAGTCAATGCGAGAATAATTTTATGGGACGGAGAGAGTATTGTTTAACACTTCACATCACTTATACATCAAAGGTATTTATAATAGACATTGCACTTGTATGTAAGGGTATGTTTGGTTCAAGGAATGTCAGATTACCATGAGAATGTCAGATTGCTGGTATATTGATGGGAATGTATTCAATTTGTACCCATTTGTGTTTGGTTGAGACTAAAGGAATGTGACATTGATTTGTTTGGTTAAATAATGTATTATACAACAAACTTGGTGAATTACTTCAATGCCCTTAAAAATATTTTCTCGTAATACCCTTGTTACAATCGTCGGGGTCCCGAGAAAGAATGTCTTCATCGATAGGAGCCTACGTTTTTCATCGATAAAAAATCAATGGACCATACGCCACCAATAGAATGACCTGATTATTCAAGGACTTAGGGGCAATTAATTAATTAGATTAGGAGTAGAAAATTAATGGTTGATCCTACTTAGGAAATATTAGATATTGACTCCTATTTAAGGAAAAGTTGCATGTTTGATCCTTCTAAATCATTCTTACTTTATTCTAAATTTATTAATTCACTATCAACCACATTAACTCCTTTATTTTTAATAATAAAACCACCTCCTCATATATTAAGTTATCATGATCATTTAAGTTTAAAAGTTCAATATAAGTTATTATGATTAAATTACTACTGTAGTCATCACTCACATTTTTGTAAACAATCTTTATTTTAGTCATAAATATGTAATTATTTCATTATTTTTTAATAAAGGCTAAAGGGTCAAATAGGCCCTTGAACTGACTTAAACAACGCAGTACATTTCGGAACCCTTTAAGTCAGTTCAAGGGCCTATTTGACCCTTTAGCCTTTAATAAATCAAATTCAAAAGTATACATTTTGTATTTCTTAATCCAATACGGATGGGTTTGTTTAAAAAAATTCCAATGCGGATGGGTTAAGAAAAATAAAAAATAAATACTATGTATGCTATTTAAACCATTTTGGTTAAATGAGAATGAGTATTTTTGGAATAAAATTCACTCCCACCAAGGAATGTAAGATAACCTAAGAGTTGAGTGGGTTTGAGATGAAGGGGCATCCTATTATTTTCTCTTCTTTTTTGGAATGTGACATTCCCCCATAAAAATAAACCTACGGACCAAACACGGATATTTTAGATTCCAGGCATGAGACTCCGGCCTGCATAGGTGATTATCTTGAACCAAACATACCCCTAAGTGTTTTTGTAAGTTTGTTTGTACTTATGAAGTATAACATTTTCCTAATCTTAGAGCCCATTTGATGCTCATATTTTCATATTATCAATCTTAACAATCAACTTTATTTTACACAATTAAGCAGATTCAGTCGTTTTAGCTAGGATTTCATCAATTTTGAAGAGATTGAACTAATTTGAATTCTACCAAAACGACTCTTAATTTTAAAGGAAACACAAAAAGTTTCCAACTCACGTTCTTTCTTCTTTAGGCTGCGCCTCATTAATTTATTTACTTAAATGACAAAAATAAAACTCTAAAATTAAATTCCTCACGCTATTTGAGTGATAGAGCAAACACATCAACTAATTCTTCTTCTTCTTCATTCTTTTTCTTCTTCATATTCTATCTGTCACTCTGCATCTCCTGATCTGATGGGCAGTTGTTTAGTTGTTGCAGTTGTAGTTCTAATCTGTGTGTTGAGCCCAGTAGAGGGGAAGCTAGTCAACGTGGTTGACCGGTCAACGGCAACCAGTAGCTGCGATCTGTTCCAAGGAAGTTGGGTTTATGATGAATCTTACCCCCTTTATGATTCATCTCAATGCCCCTTCATACAGAAGCAGTTTGATTGTTCACTCAATGGAAGGGCGGATAAAAACTATACCAAATACAGATGGCAACCCCATGGCTGTAATATATCCAGGTAATTAATTATTACTGTATTAATAAATAAATCTTCAACTTTAATTACTACTGGGTACATTATTATTCTTTTTTATTTATAGACAAATAAGGCAGGCTCTGCCACAGTACCACTCATTTGAATTTTGTGGCCCTCCCGCAATGGTCACCACGACTCTAGGACCCACCCCCAAAACATGTTGGATTTCATACTATTCACACGTTCTAATTTGAATACGTTTTTTTAAATATATTAGTAAATTATTTTTATAAAAACATTGTTAAACTTGTTTAATTGTAAATTTTCAAAAACTGAAATTTTAAATTATTTTAATAATCCTCTCAAAAAAAATTATTTTAATAATAAAGATTTCAATATACAAAATTACAAATGGTTAAAGTTGTGCGTTGACAAATGTAAAATGTTGACCGCTGCACTTATTTAATAACAGAGGTAGTATGTAGTACGATGTAGCATTTTTTCAAACATATGATCATACATTTATTTTTTCCTAAATAACACCAAACATATCCTTTCTACTCATGATTAATTAATGAAAAATAAAAATAAAAAAATAAATATTTGAGAGAAAAGTGAAGGATGACTGCTATTATAGGTAAGCTTTAGGTATTTTGACTCAATTGATTCTTTTTTTAGAGTACATGAACTTATATGATGATTTTAATAGTACATGGGTTTAAGTGATCGATTTGCATAACTAATGTTAGTCCATTGGTGACGGGTTACCTGGTGGCGCGCGACGGCTGGCATCGGTGAACAGTGGAATTCTGGCAGATTGGCGGTAGTAAGGGGGGGGGGGGGATTTACAACGACTGACGGTGGTGGTCAAACGACCCGGGAGCAGCAGTGCTCTGTCCCTATGAGGCTAATTTTGTCCGATCACAAATAAAAAGTTATAATCATGACATTTTAAATTAGTAGGTTCAATTTTAGGAAAATTGTTCTGTTTTGTATCTATTTTAGTAAATCTCCCATTTATAGTGTCTTCTTTATGGAACTTGGATAAAATAGCGATACCTCGGTTCCACTAACATTGGAACATGAAAATATGTTGCGATTATTAAGAAAAATGACTTTATGTGATTTATATTGAATTGATAAAGTAAGCATAAAGTAAGATTCATTCAAAATCACAAAATCTTTACCCAATCTAATACGAGTCAATCTTAGTGGAATGTACAAAAAAAAGATGTGAATAGTTTTCAAGCATTAATCTAAAAGAGTTTGGAATCGCCTAACAATGAATTAATCTTTATAAATATAAATATAGGGAGAAAGAGAGTCTAACAAATAAATCCTCCACACTATTCTATCTGATGGATTGGCTGACCCAGGAGGTAGCCGGAATCCGAAAAAATAGGGGAGAAGATCAGAAAAGTAGATAAGTAAGATCAAGTAAATATTTCGGCAGAGTAACAGCAAGAGGATCGAGTTTCGGATCCCTTTCCACATGTTGGAAGGTGATATTTATACCAAAAGGTTAATACTTAAAAAATGCTAATCTATTGTGCAGAAGACACGTGTCCTGGTGGTGTAACAGAAATAACAAACTGATCTAGTAGAGTGTTGACACGTGTAAAGGTGATTGGAGAGATAACAAGTACAACTGGCTGATTGGAATTGATTGTAACAAACTGGTAACGGAACACACATGTGAGTTACATGTGTGTTATCCATAATAATCTTCACTTTACCCGATGGTGATGTCGTGGCACCTTCTGAAGTGGTGATGATGTGGCGGTAGCCTTTGTAGTACTTTGTTTCGAGAAACGTCTAAGTTTACATATCGCTGGAGGGACCCCGAGCTCATGGAAGTCAGATCTTGGGCTCTCGTGCTCGTTGCTATAGAGTCTATCTCCGGTCTTTGGTCTGGTAGTGTTGACTTCGTTTGCCCCTGTATGACTTTGCGTCAGTGTCGGAGGTCAGAGTTGGGGTCGAGTTCGGCGTGTTCAAGGTTGGCCTAATATTTTTCCTTATCTTGGTGATTCCTTAGCTCGACGTTTTCCTGACCTCGGGGGGTCGAGGTCGGGTCGAGGTCCGGCTTGGCCGGGTCTTCTGTCCTTTGTCAATTTATCGCCTGGTGTTTAGTTCCGACCTCGGTGAGTCGAGGTCGGCCTCAGTTGGAACTCCAATGTTTAAGTAGTGAGTGATGCTTTCGTGGACTTTTGATTGGCGATTATGATACCCCTGGGGTATATGAGAATATACTCCATCACTATCCATTTCATTCTATTCAAAGTTATACTCTCATTTGCTCTGAAGTAAGAAATACACCAATAAGCAACAACAGTAACAACATTCAAATCTTAGTCCTAAAATGAAGAATAAGTATAAAAATGTTACTCCCTCAGTCTCATTTTATAAGATATCATTACTATTCACTTGATCAACACAAATCATTCTTAATCTCTTACTTTATATATCAATTTTTTATCAAATTTGATTCTGGTTTTTGCGACTTTGTAAAATCGATTTCAGACAGGGATCTGTTTGCTTTATTGTCGGTCAAACATCGTAAACCGAAAAGTATCTTATAATTCGGGATGAAGGGAGTATTTTGTAAAAATTTGGACACTAAAAAACCCGGAGTAATAGAAAACCTTCCAAAAAGAATAGGGAGCGAAATACAAATATAGAATAGAAGGATTATACAGTATAGTTTTGGACCAAATTTTATAGTATCCGTGTTTTGATGTCATGTTTTCTTATCACAATTATTAATAAAGTGAATGAAAAATAATTTTTTTTAAGGATAAAAAGTAAAAGTTATATGCGGTAGTTGAGATTTGAGTAATACTACATCCGTCCCTTAAAACTATGTCAAGTTTGACCGGCATGGAGATTAATAAAATAAAAATTGTGTAGTAGAGGTTTGTGCAGAGGAGAGAGAATTAACTGAAACCATAAATTCTTTACTTAAAAGAAAAAATGGCAACGATAGTGAGATATCCAAAAAAGGAAAGTTGACAAAATTTTAAAGGACGGAGGGAGTATAAATGAAAATGATACTTACAAAAAATTGGAGTAAAACATTCATTTTGAGACCAAGACAATCGAGGGTGTATAACTTACCTACACTTTCTTTGTACTTTCCACCTACTTTTAATCATGTTTGATACACCTACTACTTATTTTAGTTTGTCGAAGTAATAAATACAACAATGACGTTCTTACAGTTGGCCAGATCAAATTGTATCTCCCATTTAAAAAAAAATCATTTTTATTTCTATGAAAATTATGTCAAACTCATACTAACACATTTATTTATCAGTCTCATTCTTGATGTACGAGTATGTGAACATAATTTCTTATCCACTCGCTATACTTGACTAACTTTTATGTACCACTCAAACTAATTTAAGCACCTTCAACACAGAACACAGAAGGAATGATCACAAGTGGATAAAAAAAGGATAAGATAATGGTCATATACTAAAAATGACAAAATTAAAGGTGTAGATAAATCCTGCATTGAAGCTTATTGCAATCATAATGGATTTTTGAAAATATAAAAACCCCGTTTAATTGAACAATAATTAGAGAAGTATTTTTTCTAATCAAGAACTAAACTAATCAAAATAAATAAGATTATAATTACTTTTATAACTAAATTTATTGAAGAGGATAATTTTAATTTATTTTATTAAATTAAGTATTTCTTGATTTTATTAATAGGTTACATTTAAGATACTCCGTATGTTTTTAATAATCAAAAGATACCACCAATTCAAAACTCTTTGAGTCATGATATGATTTCAATCAATTTAATAAGGCCTTTAATGAATTTGGAGACCCCGTTTTCAAATGACAAATTGAGGCCTCCTAAAACAAGAAAAAAATATAAAATGTAACAATGAAATACAAATAAACTAGACAGTTCAATGTAATATAAGTTTTATGATATTTAAAGTACATAAATTAGAGAATTTAAAAGTTATATACCTTTGAAAATCTTGAATAGTAATACACAACATCTAGAAAAATCAACCTATAAGTAATACCACATTCTAAATTTTTGGAAGCTCCTTAGAGTGGGTCCCGGTGCCAAACACCTATTACACCTCCTAAAAGACGGTCCTAAATTTAATCAATGACGTAGCTATAAATTAAATGGGCTGTAAATTACGTTGTTGGTGGACACTATGACTATACAGAAAGACTAGGGGTACACAAGCTGTACACAACTTGTACACAATTGGTACGGAGTTGTCTATGACTCTATGAGCACATACATTAATTTTTGTGTAAAAGAGTACATTGACAGCCGCCTGACACTGACATCAGCTTGCAAATCAATCTATATCCGTGCAGTGTCTCTGTGCACAAATAATATTTTCCTGCGTCTCTGTGCACAAATAATATTTTCCTGCTGCACAGACAATATTTACCGCACAGACAACACTCGTGCGGCTCACAAACAATAGTTGTCTGTATCCTCAACTTTAATTGTCGGTGTGATTAATTTTAATTGTCTGGGTGAGAAAAAAATACCTTGTATATAAACATCCAAATGAATAATGTAGTTGTATATGTGATCAATTTAAATGTAATTTGAAAAAAATAGAAAAAGAATAAAAATAGATAAAATAAGATAAATAAACTAATTTTGTGCAAATAATGAAAAAACTTTGATATAAAAAGGTAGAAAAGAAGAGGATGAACCGATGAAGAGGTTTCGAAGGGATCGGGAAAAATGAGAGGAAAAGGGAGAGAGAATGGGAGGCGAAAAATGAAAAATTTTGGACTTTGATGTACACTTGAAGCATTTTTCATGACTATAATAGCGTGTGTATGTAGTAGTACGGAGTAGGTATTTTAGAAATAAACATTACTTTTTGGAAGTCGTTTTCATATGCCAGTATGCCACAAACCTCCTCCTACCGCGGGACAAAAGGGTTGATTATAGAAATGTGTAGATAAAAAAATATGATTAAAGTTATCACGAGTATATTGTCATAATCACTTTAAATAAAATTAAAGATAAATCATTATTGTTAAATTTATTAATCTAATCATTATATATAAAATTTCACATTTTTATAGACATTCTTTATTTTAGTTATATATTTGTAACTTTCCAATTTTTAAGTACCTACAACTTTATATTAAAAAAGTGCCAATTAGTTTATAGATAAAACATTGTAGAATTGTAACAAAATATGATGTTACTCAAAATTGGAAATAATACTGCGTGTGATCTAAGTAAAATAGTGAAGAAGACATATGCATACACGATTACACACATTAACTATTTTCGTAAGAAAGGGAAGATCAACCAGGTTGAAATCTCATGACAGAAAAGGTACCCGTAAAAGCATTATAAAGTAAAATAGAAGGCTCATTTAAGGATTATATAGGAGATTCGAAGCAATTATGTGGGCCTTTTGCGTTCGATATTACTAAAAAAAAAGACAAAAAAACAAAAAGGTGACATCTTTTTTAAAATTCCAAAACTATATGACCTAACAATACAATTAAACTATGTGGTCTAAAGTGATTCCCGTTAAAGTGACTTCGTTGCCACAGTGACTCCACCGCCATAGTGACCCGCCGCCACAGCCCACAGTGACTCTGCTGTTACAGTGACTCCGCCGCCAAAGTGACTTCGGCTAAAAGTGACATGCGTCTCCGGCCACAGTGACACGCGTCTCCGGTGACGCAGCACATCCCTCCCCTGCTTCTTACATCCCACTCAGCCTCGTCCCCAGCCACCCCGCTATAGCGTCGCCGCTAAGCATCACCATGGACCACCGCCCCACCCCCCGCTCCACATCCCCCAGGCACCTCCCCAGCCCCCAACCACCTCCCCAACCCCGTTCTGCCCCAAACACAGCCACCCACTGTGCTACACCAGTCAGCCCCAACCCTACCAGCCTCGCCCCATGCCTACCAGCCCCGCCTGCTATTCACCCCAGCCCCTGCCATGACACACTAGACCTGCCCCATATGCCCACAACAACTGCCCCCTTCCCAGGTGATAATCGCATGAATCGCATATCGCCCCATATGCCCAGCGGTCCCTGATATGATCCCATGAACCACCACACACCTAGATCCATAGCTAAAATCGCAAATCAGAGTCAGACAGATGTAGGAACGATCGAAGGCGGCGGCGATGCAGTGATGAACGAAGGCGGCGGCGATGCAGTGATGAAAGAAGGCAGCGGCGATGCAAAGACCTCTGGCGAGATGGGGTGATGTAGATACGTCTAGTAGGTGACGACCAGCGGTGATAGCGAGGCTTTGGGGGATGAAGATGATGACCTCTGGCAGATGGTTTGTGGCGTCTTCGATGCAGAGAAAGATGTGGCTTAGAGAGAGTGAAAGAACTAGGCGGGCGGAGGTAATATTTTTGGAATAATTGAAAAGAGTTATTCTCTCCGTCTCGGAATTATCTTCATACTTTGCTTTTTCATCCGTCTCCAATTTATCTCTTCTTTTCAGAATTTGTGATTCCCAACCATTCTTACATATTCTTACACATTTCTCTCTTCTTTGCACAACTCTCCGTCACACAATTCCCACTATCTTAATTGTGTGCAAATGTACTTGTAAAGATAAATATGGGACAGAGGGAGTATATTTTTGGAAATGGAGAGTTTGGTTGTCATACGGGTGCCATTCTTTCAACACAAATGCTATTGCTATCCCAATTTGTACCCCATTTTGTACTATCTCCCTATATTTGTAGTTCACAAAAGCACTTCATTAAAATGGAGCAATTCATTTAATGTGTTGGGCTTTTGTGAACCAATGTGGTACAAATGAGGTACCAATTGGGATACCTCTATCAAAATTCTTCTTTCAATTATGTGTACATGTATGGATTAGAAACTTCTTCTAATCAATAACTAAGAACAAAATTATGGTCGATCTTACTCAAAGTGTATATCACTGTACAACACTTTGCTTCCTTGTTTATCTGATAATTATAAACAAGAATAAGATTTCTATTTAGGATGTTTTTACTTGAACTTTAATCTGTCCCGGACCAGATCAGACCAGAGCAAAACAGACTCGACCAATCTTGAATAGTTATAAAATACAAAGAGACCAGACTTACCAGACCAGACCAGACCAACAACGTACAGTCCAAGTAAAAATATCCTTATGGGAGTGGTCTGGAGACAAGCAGTAATGCTTTCATCTTTTCTATATCTTCTATCATGCCTTATTGTGGGAGAGCTCTTTCCAAGAAACTACCTCCATGTTTAGGTGTTGGAATGAAGTGTCCATGAATTTGCATCAACTTTTTAAATTAACTATATTTTAGCAACTGCAAGAAGATTATTTCTTGTTTTGCATAATATTTTTTCCAATCCTTCCAATAATTCTCTCTTTTCTTTTATGGAGCTCTGAATGACTGTCAAATTAATTTTTATGTATTTTTTTAAAACACATAAATCTATTTTCGAAGAGATTAAGAATATACTACGTATAACCCTAAGTTTTATTATGGAATATTGCAGGTTTGATGGTAAAGAATTCATGATGAGATTAAAGGGCAAGAAGGTGATGTTCGTAGGAGATTCACTATCCAACAATCAGTGGCAGTCTCTGACATGTCTGCTCCATGTATCTAATCCAAAGTCTAATTATACATTACAAAGAGCTGGAGAGATCTCTAATTTCACATTTCAAGTAAGATTTAGACATTAATTATGTGTTACGTGCATATTTTTTGTTGCAAATTAGCAATTTAATCAATATAATTCAAGAGACTAAATATGCAATGAAGGTATACAATGTTTCTGTCTTGTATCACCGGCGTATGTATGTTGTGGATCTTGAGAATAGAACATTGAAGTTAGACTCCATAAGTGAAAATGTATGGTGGAATGACATGGATGTGCTCATCTTCGACACTTGGCATTGGTGGTTTCATATTGGAAGGAAACAAGCGTAAGTTTTTTTGGGTTTATACGCACACATACCGGGAGATTTGCAATCTATGTCCCGTAACTTTAGACCGTTATTGTTATTAGTTCTGTAATTTTACTCGCACATTCGGTCATGTAACTAATACTCCACCCATATCTTAGAACTTTGCACACTTTCACTTTTTGGTTGTTCCACTAACTTTGCAGCTTTCCGTTTCAAATAAAGAATTTGTGGTTCTAGCTAATCCTATAGTTGATCATATTCTCAATCATACAATTTTTACTATATTAATCTTCATGCCGATCACACTTGATCAAGTTTTAAAGGATAGAGAGAGTGAATTCTTGCAATTTAAGGACTTTTCCACTAGAAAGTACACTTTTTGGCAGAAAAATCCGACGCCAACAGCATCTTTTCTGGTATACTTTTGCCGAAAAGTGTACTTTCAGGTAGGGACGGATCTACACTGTCTCCTGGGGGGCCATGGCCCCTCCCCCAACCTTTTTTTTTAATTAGTAGTATTAATTATTTAGTTCCCCACTTCCCCCCAAACATTTTAATTTGGGCGAGCATATTAGTAACCTCCGTATGAAGAAGTCATCAACCACACGGAAGCTTCAGCCCATTCAAGGTTACTAAAACCCTATTAATTTGGCCTAAAATCCTATTACAATTCTTCCAAATTATGGTCGTACTCTACTCCAAGTATTAATTAAAAAAAACAGTTTGGCTGTTGATATACTTGTATGCTGCGGTCTCCCGTAGCAGTGACCTGGGATGAAGAATGGAATTTAGAGCTTTTTCTATCCAAGTAATTTAAGCATTTTGTCATTTTTCATCTATTAGATATGAGATTCTTTTTTGTTAACACGGTTATAAAACTTAGATTTGTGTTATTGCTTGAATATAATAATTGATTCAAAAATTAGTGAATACTTTTTTTGTTTTAGAGGAAAAAATTAATGAATAATTAAGAAATAATTTTTCTAAATTTTAATTTCCATGACGTTTAATCATATGTTTTTGAATGTTTTAAATGAAAACTAGTACATTGTTTAATGGTTATTGCATTTTTATTTTATATGTTAATATTTTTTCTAATTTCACCCCGGCCCCTCCCCGGATCATATTATGGCTCTGTCCCTGCTTTCAGGAAGGGAATCCTTAAATCGCAGATATTTAATAGTTACAGGACCAAATTTGTTAGTAACTAAAGTTACGAGACTTATAATGAAAACAGTCGAAAGTTACGAGATGAAAATTGCAAATCTCCCCACACACATATATGTATGTGATTGTGTGAATGTTGGAGTTCATGTAAAAATACCAACAAGACCATTAAAATGTAAATGAAATTGAAAATCACATTATACAAACATATCACTTTGGTCACATTTTTACTAGCATTTATATACAGTGTGTGCATACATTGTTCTGAAACATGATTTGATTTTCTTAGAAAAAATGAAATGGTTTCTATGCAGATGGGATTTTGTGCAAGAGGGAAATATTACATACAAAGATGCAAATCGATTAGTTCTATATTCCAAAGCACTCAAGACTTGGGCAAAATGGGTTGAATCAGAGGTTGACACAACAAAGACTAAAGTATTTTTCCAGGGAGTATCTCCTGACCATTGGGTGGAGTAAGTTTTTTTTCTCTAATAATATATCTTGTGTAAATAATGTTAATTTTGATAGACATTTTTTTATACACATTTTATGAAGAAACAATAATTAATACTATTACATTTACTAACACTATTAGTCAACTGTAAGAATTACATTACACTCCTTGACACCACACAAATTATGCTTTTCCAAAGTAATGCTGGGGGATCCAAGGCAAGGACCTGTGAAGGAGCAATAAAACCAAGCAATGCTGAGAGAAGGGGACATCCAGGAGAGGAGGTGCTGAAGGAGGTTCTGAAAAACATGTCGAAACCGGTGTACCTGCTGGACATTACGAGGATGTCGCAATACCGACCGGACGGCCACCCTTCCGTTTACGGTGTCGGAGGACACCTCAGCCCCGATTGTACTCACTGGTGTCTTCCCGGCGTCCCGGATTCTTGGAATCAATTCTTGTACACTCTCACCACTGCTCAATCCCATATTATTAGCATTTCATCTGCCCCTTGTCCCTTTTCTGCATTATTCTTCACTTCTGCTTCATCTGTACTACTATTCTTTTTATTATTTTTCTGGTTATGAGAATCCGCACAGTTCTATCAACTCAAAAACTGGTATATAGAAATCAAAATTTTACAGATCGAATAATTTGTGATGCTCTTAATTAGAATTGTTCTTTTGTTTAGTGCCTTGTAAAGTTCTGGATTGCCTTATCTCATAATAGTATGATTTCAATATGTTACGGATCCAGCTCATATAGTCGTTAACAACTTCAACCACAGTCAGTGTCGGTGCCAAAATTGCACGCTCGCGCAAATAATTCATATCACATGCTGATTGAACATATTCCGGAAATATGTTTTCAACATTTGCAGCTATAGGATCTCCATCTATACGTATCAATAGTTCATCAGGAATAGTAATATGAACATGACCATCATTACTTTCACCAGCAACACCATCACCAATGTTGGCAATCCAATCTGAAAAGACCTTCAAATCGTAAGAATATGATGGATTAGTCGTGTTTAGCAGACACATATTTTTTTGTCAAACGAAAGATTGTGCATTCCGACCACATATATGATGAATTAATCGTCGCATTGACTACATCCTGTTTACTACTCCCATGAGGTATCACCGGCTACACCTGCTGAAAATCAAAGATTTATATAAATCAATTGAAGGAAAATTATTTATAATAACTAAGTAATAAGATGATTATAAATTTACGCGAATTGCATTTTTTAGACGAATTGTCTCTCTAAATAGGTAAAAATAAGGGAGTAAAATATGTGAAAGTGTGTTTGTTATATTTGAAATTTGTGGAAAAATTTCAAATATGTGCTTCTACTATTTCTAATATTCAAGTATGGTCTGGTCTGGTCTGGTCTGGTTTGTTTAAGTTTGGTTTGGTTTGAGACTGAAATAACTCTAAGTATAAACATATCAAGTAATATGGTGACTATGCATTTATACGAATTGCATTTTTTATACCAATTGTCCTGGTAAATTGGCAAATCAGGGGGGTGCAAATATGTGAAAGTGTGTTATGGCATTATTAAATAATACTCAAATATGATAATTCTTCAATCGGGCCTTAACCGGCTCTATTCAATCCTAGACCGAACCCAAACTAACGAAAGCTGACGCGAACTAAATGTAAAGGATTTTTTTTCGATCTCTGATTTTCATAACCGATATCTTATGAATAATTTTTTATATCATCGAAAAACCAACAGAGATCGGACAGGTCCCACCCTTAACATCATCGTCCAGAAACCCGGCCAATAATGAGATTATGTGAAATGTATTACTGAATTTTTACATAGAAGTAACTTTAGTTTTTTTTAAATAAATAATTTCCCATATTTTTTGAACTTCATTAATTTATTTAAAGTTTTTCTTAGTAAAAAAACTCAAATTTATTTCTTCATTATTTACAGCCTTTGGATCAGCCCGTTTGAAAAGCCTCCATTTAAACCCGGCCCAAACTATTTGACCAAAGGTTATACTCCGCATATATGTTCATCAACATAGGGTAAGTTTGGTAAAACCCTTCACCTTCCACACAACAGTTAAACAACGAACACTACCACACGCTGATATGTTCTATCGTACGCACGCCAATCTCTCTTTTGTCTTTGAACACCACTCTCGTGAAGTGGTTCTCAATCGACATCAGAAATAGCCCTCGGATGAGCTCTCATATCCTAACCTGCCCAAACCCAGGTGATAGGCTCCGGTTGCTATGCCGTCTCCACCGTCGTGTAATCCACCAACGGAACCGTATTCGATACCCGAAAGCACCAACTGTTGCTTTAAAATTTCACAAACTGCCAATAAATTTTTTTTCCATGAATTGAAATTTGGTAAGTTCACACCTCATCAGGAATAGCATGTTTGACATACTATTCCTAAAATCTGGCCACCTTCGAACAATAAAATTTTTGACAGCCAATCAAGGGTGACAATGGCTTGGCATTGCAAAAAAATTCAAATTTACTATAGGGAGTCAAATGGAAGTCAAATGCTTTTTTTTGTTTGCTTTCACCACGGAGTTTTAGGAAGTTGCACTCGAGCAAAACCTTTAATTACAATTGTCTTCTTTAATGCACATCCCTTCTTTTGGTGTGTGTCCTCTTCATCATATACCCTTGTTGAAAATTGTGAATATGTCAATATCTTGTGATGTTTCATTACTTTCAATCCATTTTTAAGGTTTCGGTAAAGCACATAATACCAATGCATTTGTAATAAAACTCATTCCTTACATATCAGATCAATACAACGTTTTCCATCAAACTGCAAAGTTAATATTAATGGCATAAGTAATACGTAGTATTACAATTGACATTTTTGGACCAGTGCGGTATTAACTTGAGTTCCATTAATATATGTATTTTGTCTAAGCCTGACGTATTATCAAAACGATGCGATGGTTTTACTAATTGCATTGTGTTATTGTAAAATATTTGTTATTAGAGCTGCTAGGTAGAACGAACTGCCCTTGACATGACAGCAATTCAGGGGGGGGTGGCTGTTGGTAGAGAATTAGATACATAATCTGTTAACAGAACTGCACATGCATGTTTTATTCAAGAATTCTTCATTAAACCCAAAATTGGAGCATACTGCGATTTTCACATTTGATGATATCTATTACATCAAAATTTATAGAACACGGAAAAATTTAGCATTATCAACTTCAAATCTACACACCCATATCACAGCACTCTGAAGATACATTTTATAACATCCTAACGATGTACCACATGTTGTGAATTACAGGTTGACCATTGGCGATTACACGAAATGTCGTCCTCAAAGCTGTCTCTTTTTTGTGTGTTATGTGATTCATTTTAAAAATGTTGTAATAATTAGACTTAGGCTAGACTTAGGATGTCCTTGCTCAAGCCCGACCCAAGGTATGTTCATCTATGCACCGCTCAGCTTTTAATCTATCCACCCCCGTTGTTCCGTTACACGCATTTTTACGACAAATGTCTTCTACGGGTTCCAACCAAGAATTTTTTAAGTGAAACCGGGGGAGTGGGTTTAGATTGCTGCACAGACTATTTTCTCCAACAATTTTTTTTCATGCCCTTAAAATTCTTAAATATTCTACTCTTTAAAAAGTCCTCAGGTTACTCTTACAAAAAAAACTCCCTATGGATTATGACCCCTGCAAAAAATCAAGATAAATAAAAATAGAAAAACATTTGTTTCGTATAAAATTCAAGATATTTACAATACCTCTTCATCATGAAATATGACTTCCATAGACGGGGGAATCCATCATGTGCGGGTTCCCTATAGACCCTCGTTGCCCTCGCCTTTATGGCACACGTAGTTCTCGATTGATCAATTTCCCTAATCATTGATCACATTCCAACCATTTTTCTGAAAAATACTTTATGTAGAAAGCTATTAGTTTTTGGCTCTCTGAATGAAGATTGTGCTTGCATCCGCATTGTATTAAATAGGCTGTTGAGCATAGAAACAATAAATGAGATAACTATTCCACCACCCATCCTAACCAATAGAAATCAAGCATTCAAAAACACCAAATATTGAACCACGTACTAAAGTAGATCTGCCCACTCGGTTGAACCAATATGAGCATTGTACTTGAACCAAGTCTCACCCATAATCAATCTTAACCACACCCATTGTTCTAAAACTCGCTAGGCGCTAGTCGGGCGGTTGAGGGGCGCCTAGCGCCTAGGCGGTCGACTAGGCCGATTTTTTGGCCGACTGGGCCGATTCGGCCTCTACGGTTAGGGCCGCCGAGGCCGATTTTTTAGAACAATGACCACACCAAAGAAACCTAATATTTTCTACGAACAATGCAACCGACCATGTTATCCAATAGAAACAAATGAAGTTTTTGAGTGAACTGTTCACAAATCCGCTGACCAATAAAAACTGCACACCTAAGATCTCACAGATTTGTTCACCAGATTATATACTTGGGCCTTCAGAATTCGCAGCACAAAGCATTATTTTGCAATAAATTTTGACAAAAAAAAACCCAACAAAATCACGATGTTGACATTTCTAGGAGGGAACCCTATTCACAAAAATCTTTTGCTTTTATATTTAGATAGATGCATGCATGCCTCGATTTATAGAGTCTGGATGTGTATTTTTCACCTTGACATCCGGTGTGGGAGAATGAAAGTGAGATACGAACTACTTAAGGGAGTGTTTGCAACCGCCTCTGCTTAAAAACAAGCATTTTTGGAGATGTAAGGAAAAAGTGATTAGTAGTAAATGTTGATCCCGTTTGAGAAAAAAGTGATTTTGAAAAGTAAAAGTTGGTAGTGTTTGGTAAAATAAGTGGTTTTTGTGTAATGGAAAAGGGAAAAGCACTTTTCACACGCAAGCCGAGAAAAAGTAAAAATTGGTAGTGTTTGGTAAATAAGTGTTTTTTTAAGCCAAAAGCTAAGAAGTGTTTTTTTAAGCTGTTGCAAACACTCCCTAAATCTCGATTGCACCCACCTCTAGCTTTATATTTACATCTACTCTGTATTATTTTGCTCACACACTCACATGATAAAAATTTAATTTAATCAATGATTATTATTGTATTATCTCTATTATACTTGTATATATTAACAGTATATCTATATCTATCTATAGATAATACATTTCAAAGATACAATTATGGAAAGTTTTGCCATGTGTCATGCTCTAAGCAATTCTATCATAAGTAATTAAAAGCTCCCTAAAATCTAGATTACTCATCCGTGTATTACTCCTACCCTAGATTAGAACTCCTAAAATCTAGCATTACTTAAAACTCTTTTGTAGATTATGATTAGATTACTCGTCTGAATATTATTACTCCACGAGTTGGATTAGAATTCAATCAAATTAGAATTCCAAAAGTCACATATGGGGATAAGGGTCAGTTTGGTCCTCGAAAATGCAAAAAAGGAGTCAAATAAGTCCTTATATAGAAAATTCTGTCCAGACGTGCCATTTGAGGTGGCTCCCGGTGGAATTTTTTGATTAAATTTTTTGAGCATCTTATTCATTAAGTCTAGTTTACTCATACCAAATTTCAGATAAAAATTCAATCGGGAAGACATTCAAATGAATTCTTGAAGATAACTGTGTCGTTAAAAGCGCAGTTATCTTCAAGAATTCATTTGAATGTCTCCCCGATTGAATTTTTAGCTGAAATTTGGTATGAGTAAACTAGACTTAATGAATAAGATGCTCAAAAA